GCTTGGCCCCACACAAAAAGGCGGCTCCTGGAGCAGCTGAGCATCCTGAACCAGGAAGCAATGGATTTCTTGCTTCTGCCACAGACTCCCCAGCTGTGAGCCTTCCAACCTTATAAATATTCTTTGTATGTGGTTCAGAGTACTGGGACCATTCCCTGAGCCTTCTTGGTCCTGTATTCTGTGTTGTTCTTGGCAGAGCTCATCACTACACTTCCACCTAATCCACCATCTTTTTCCGGAAGTCTGAGATAAACACTATGAATCTCAAAATCGACAGTTCAAACCCACCCAGCTCCTCCTCGGAAACCATATATAGGATCACTATGAGTTGGAACCAACTCAACAACACTGAATAACAATGGACAAAATATAGAATGATGCAGAAAGTATCAGAAAAAGATGGAAGTACACAGAGTAAAATTCTACCAAAAAGAAACGGTTGATTTTCAACCATTTCAAAAGGTAGTATATGATCAAGAGCAAATGGTACTAATGGAAGAAGTCCAAGGTACACTGAAGGCATTGTCAAGAACAAGGCACTGAGAATTGATGGAATACAAATTGAAATCTTTCAACAAACTGATGCATCACTGGAGGCACTCACTAAACTATGCCAAGAAATTTGGAAGACAGATACCTGGTTAAATGATTGGAAGAGATTCATATTTGTGCCCAAAGATGTGATCCAATGAAATGGGAAAATCATCAGACCATATCATTAATGTCACATGCAAATAAAACTTTTGCTGGAGATAATTAAAAAATGGTTGCAATGGTCATTGCATTGACAGGGGACTGCCAGAGGTTCAAGCTGGATTCATAAGAGGATGTGGAACAAGGGATATAATTTTTGATGTCAGATGGATCTTGGCTGAAAGCAGAGAATATCAGAAAGGTGTTTACTTGTCTTTTATTAAGACTATTCAAAGGTTTTTGACTGTGTGGATCATGACACACTATGGACAAGATTGCAGAGAATGAGTATTCTGGAACACTTAATTGTGTTCATGAGGAACCTGCACATAGATCAAGAGGCACTGAGCAGAACAAGGTGACACTGAATGTTTTAAAATCAGGAACAGTATGAACTAGGATTGTATTCTTTCACAATACTTATTCGATCTGTAAATTTAGCAAATAATCCAAGAAGTTGTATTATATGAAGAAGGACTTGGAATCAGGATTAGTGGAAGGCTCATTAACATACTTGCTGAAAGAGAAAAGGATTTAAAATACTGATGAAGATAAAAGACCACAGCCTGCAGTTGTACCTTAATGTAAAGAAAAAAAATCCTCACAAATAAACCAACACTTAACATCATGGTAACTGGAGAAAAGATTGAAGTTGCCAAATACTTCATTTTACTTGGATCCACAGTTGGCACTCATGGAAGCTGGTGCCAAGAACATAAACGATGTATTGCATTGGGCAAATCTGTTGTACAGGCCTTTTTAAAGTGTCCAAGAGCAAAAATGTCAGTTTGAGAACTAAGGTGTACCTTACCTAAGCCATGGTAGTTTCAGTAGCCTCCTATGCATGTTAAAGTTGGACAATGACTAAGAAAGACCATAGAAGAATTGATGCATTTGAGTTATAGTGTTGGAACCGAATATGAAAAGTACCATGGGCTGCCAGAAGAATAAACAAATCTGTGTTGGAAGAAGTACAACCAGAATGCTCCTTAGAGGCCAGGATGGCGAGACTTTATCTCTCATACTTTGGACTTATTATCAGGAGAGACAAGTCCTTGGAAAAAGACGTCATGCTTGGTAAAGTGTAGGATCAGTGAAAAAGAGGGAGACTCACAACAAGATGGATTGACACAGAGACAGCATCAGTGGACTCAAGCGTAACAACTATTGTGAGGATGGCACAGGACTAGGCAATGTTTTGTTCTGTTGTGCATTGGGTTGCTATGAGTCAGAACCGACTCTATAGCACCTAACAACACCAACAATAACAAATTTCTCAGGAACCAAGAACAGAGACTAAAATCTTTGGGTGACATTAACTCCACATCTATCCTTTATCAAGGTTATGTACCAGTGTGTGGCTTAATTTTCTTCATTTTTTCTTTTGCAAAAATGAAGTAAAATGTTTTCATTTTGATGATGTTTAGTTCCTCAGGTGCTCTTTTGGTTAATGCTTTTGATTTCCTAATAAAGCTGTCTCTGTCCACCTCAGGTATTCTCCTGTATTATCCTCTAGGTTTTGGTTTGTGTGTGTGTGTATTTAAAGGATTTGTTCCTTTCTGCTTTTCCTCAGTGCTCAGACTTTCCTTCTATCTGCCTTTTTAAGCTTCTCTCTCTTTCCTTCAGAGTCCTTCCTGGCTTGGCACTGTGGGTTAATGCATTGGACTGTTTAATGCAATGTTGGTTTAAATTGCAAGATCGGTGGGTGGTTCAGGCTCACCAGTTGCTCCTTGGAAACCTTGTACTTGGTCGCTATGGGTCAGAACCCATTGGTGACACTTAATAACAACAATCTTTCCTTCTCTCTCTGCTTGTCAAATTGAATCCTTTCTTCAAGATCCAGTCAGATATCTCTTTATCCCTGAAAAAAATTATACTTCTTTGGTTCTCTTACCCTTCCACTGATATTTCTCAATATGTTATTCTTTATATGGCCATTAAATAACTTTAATTATTTTCCTATATGATTTATGACCCCTTCTAAGTTGAAAATTGAACTTCCTGGTGGTGCAGTTAACATGTTCTAAAGGAGCTCTGGTAGCGTAGTGGTTACGAATCAGGCTGCTAACCTCAAGGCCGGCAGTTCGAAACTGCCAGCGGTTCCACAAGAGAAAGATGAGGTGTTCTGCTCCCGTAAAGATTTACAGCCTCGGAAACCCTGTGTAGGGTCACTATGAGTGACCACGGCACATAACAGCAACAACAACAACTGTTAACCAAAAGGCTGAGGTTTAAGTCCACCCAAATACACCTCAGAAGAAATCTGGCAATCTGCTTTCAGAAAATCAGTCACTGAAAAACTCTAGGGAGCACGGTTGTGCTTTGACACACATAGAGCATGTCATTGGTGACTGATTTAGTTAAAAGATACTTTAAGGAATAAGACTGGGCTTTGTTATTTTTTGTTGTGTCTTTCATAATATAACTGCTTATGAAATAATTGTTTAATAAATGGAATGAACAAATAATGTTTCATTTTCTTTAGGAGTGTAAGTCCTGACTGTGAGGGTTGGAAATGTAAAGGTAGATGTTTTGTAGCAAAAGGAAGGGAGAGGTTTATTTTGCAGTCCAGGAGCAGAGGTCCTTGGGACCATTAAGGGAGAAGAGCGAAGTATAGGACCCTACCCAGAGAAACAGTGACGCCAGAGATGGAGGCAGAGATGGAGTGGCTGGGACCCTGGACTGAGGGATGGAGAGGGGCTATGTGCTGGCAGCCAGGAGGCAGGCTTGCGGCGTGTGTCCTTTGGTTGTTTGATGATTCATGGAATTGTAATCATGGCAATGAAATGAAATACGATAGGATGAATGTGAAGCTAATGTTTTTCCCATGTAAACTATCATATAATTTAGACTAAAAAGCAATGAATTGGAAAAAATCAAGCTAACAACTATTTTAAATGATCAGAAGTGAATATGTCAATCTATTAAAAAAAAGATTAAAAGGAAAAAATTAAAAAAAGAGTATAAGTCCCAATTTATGGCAATAGGGTACACTGTGTATTTCCTTGATTTTCATAGAGAATGATACAAGACAGAGCTTTATCCAGACAAATTACTTAAAATGCTTAATTAGTATTTTATAGTGTTGCACTAATAACTTGGATTTGAATCCCAGCTCTGCCACTAACTACTGTTATTGTTAAGTGCCATTGATTTGGTTCTGACTGTACAGGGTTTCTGAGTCTTTTTAAATCTTAGTAGAAGCAGAAAACCTCATCTTTCTCCTGCAGAGTGGCTGGCAATCCAGAACCTCAGACCTTGTAGTTCATAGTCCAGAGCTTGTCATATGGAGCCACATGCTTCTACTACTAACTGATTATAAAAAAATTAAATACATTTTTAATCTCTTGGCATCTTAGTTTAATCATTAGCAAAATAGAAAAAAGAGGTAACATCTAGATGAGGAATACATTAATTGGTATGTAAAACACTAAGTTAGCAATCATAATTTTAAACAAGATAACATAATCATAATACAAGAAATGATTTGAAAACTACCTTGTATATTGCTTTATTTTTATATCTATAATTAAAACCTTATTTTCTTTCTAGTTTTTAAATTATATTCCCCTTCAAAGCCTTGTAGTGAATATGAGTTTGAATGCAAGCAATTGAAACAGATGACCATGTATTTGAACAAATTTCCAGAGTTAGAAAAGTGGGATTGACTAGGGAACTGGGACAACATCATCTCTGGGAACATGTAATTCTGATTTTCTTGTGGGTTTTGGTTTCTTTTTCTTGTCAATCCAATTGTGATTTGTGATAATGTGAACTCCAATTTACAGAAGTTGAAAATAATCAAGAAAAAAGCAGAACTGTTCCCCTCAGAGTCTTTTCCAGTGGTAGGTTTGAGCCTTCCCTCTTGGCTGAGTTTATCACACCAAGAATCAGCTTCATCATTGACTTTTGAGCATATTTCCTCTATAGCATAAGTTTTACAGTTAAGTTTCTGAAAAGCTGGGTTGGAATCCATATAAAGCTAGTTTGAGAAAGGTAACAAATGATTCTTTCCGTTGTGATCATAGGTTACTGCAAGATTCTCACAGTTTCTACTGGTTTTGCTGAGAAGTCTGGTCCAGAGTTCAGCATGTACTTTGTAATATTGATACTCACAGATGTTTACTTTTTCTCCCCTAGGTTGCAACAGAGATTCCAATTTCTGCACTGAGTGCCATCGCAACTCCAAGAATTGTAGACCTTGCTCACCCCAGGCTCAAGATAGAGGGTCTGTGTTATGATCTAGAAAACAGCGACATGCCCATTCGTCCTGTAAGACATCACTGCCCTGGAATCTGGTGGCTTACTTTCTGCTTGTTCCTAACATGTTATTTTGCCTCTACACGCATTGCCCAAAGTCATTGGAAAAGAGAATCTGGAAAGAATGGTCTGTAATAGGAAGACCTAGTTGCTTTATATGGAGAGAGAAGAGGGGTAGAGGACAAAGAGTATGGACTTAGGAGTTAGTAAGAACTGGGTTCAAATACCAGTCTCCCCACTGCTACTACCTCTGTGATGTTGGATAGCCTTCCTGAGCCTCATTCATTCAACAAGTGTTTGAATTCCAGGCACTATTTTCATGGAGGCCAATGCTAGTGAAGGAAGACCAACAGTAAATATGCAAATAGCTAAGTTCCAATTATATGAGTGCTGTGAAGAACATAAGGAGCCCTGGTTGCACAGCGGTCAAATACTTAGCTGCTAACAGAAAGTTTGGCAGTTCAATCCCACCCAGGGCTGCAGGAGAAAGACCTGACAGTCTTCTTTCATAAAGATTATAGCTGAGAAAACACTAAGGAGTAGTTCTGCTTGTCACATGGGGTTGCTACGAGTCAAAATCAACTCAATGGCACCCACAACAACAGTAACAATGAACAACATAAAATAGGAAACAAAAGTGACTATGTGTGAAGGTGGGAAATAAGCTAAGGAAGGGATATTTGACCTGAAACCCTGAATGATGAGGAGTCAGCTATGTGAAAAGTCTAGCAAAAGAAAGAACATGTTCCTTTAAGCTGGAATGAGCTTGAAGTTGGGTAGAGCTAGGTGAGCAAGACCCCACTCAGAGGTCTGCTGTGATGAGCAACATAGATAAGGCATTCAGCACACAGCTTGGCACATTCAATGCCTTACTACTCTCCTTTTCCTCCTTGACACACCCTCCCATTAACTGTAGTACCAACTTGATACCCTGCCCTAGTTAGACTTCAGTAAATATCCAGTGATCATATTGCCAAAGGAGGTGGGACCAATCTTACCTTTTCTCTGGGAACTGCTGTAGGATTCGAAGCAGTAGTGGGAACCTGATATACAAGTGATTGTTTAGTGCCGATAAATTGGTTCTGACTCACAGAACCCTGTATAGGGTTACTGAGGAGCAGCTGTTCGGTTTGAACCATCAACCTTGAGGTTAGCAGTCCAGTGCTTATCCCATAGTGCCACACCAGGACTCTGATATGCAAGCAGAGGATCTAAATAGAAATGAAGAAAGGAAACCAAGCTGGAAATCAAAACTCCTAGGAGAGTGTCTTGGGTTTGCTAAAGTGACTTTCCTTGTGACCAACAGACGAATCATTTATTCTCAGCTTTTTGGTATATATAATGGGAACTATAGGCATCCTTCCTTAATTGCTAGGTTCCTTCCTTGATTGTGGGGGAGCGGTTTGAAAAAAAAAAATAGAAGTCTTAAGATAAAATGGTAACCTTGTAGATAATCATACTCTTAGAATACCAAACAAATCTGCACCAGTACAATCCAGAACACTTTCAGGACTACTAAGTAATGTTAGTCTATCAGAATGCTTTTGAATGAGCATTTATGAGAAAGAATAGTAGCTAAATGTCATCCTTCACATTGTAACAGTAAAGCAACATAACATAATCTGAAAGATGTGGTTCACAAAGATCAAAACGGGTCAAGCAGTAAGTCAAAAAAAGTACATTAATTGAGCACCTACTATGTAATTGAGCCAATTTTAGATTTTGGCAAACAAGTGCTCTGTCAAACAACTTTTATTCTTATGGGAAGAAACAGACAATAATCATATAAACAAAGAGCTAAATGAGCACATTCAGATATTGTAAATGTGATGAAGGAGATTAAGTCCTGTGTTGTTGTTGTTATTAAGCACCATTGAATCTATTCTGACTCATAGCAACCCTGTATAGTGTTTCCAAGGAGCAGCTTGTGGTTTTGAACTTCCAACCTTGTGGTTAGCAGTCCAGTGCTGATCTTTCAGCACGGTATCAGAAGTCCTGTAGGAAACTAAGTCCTGTAGGAAAAGGCTAATTAGCAAGGCTGCTTTATGTTGGATGGTCAAGGAAAGTCCTTCTTCAGCATTTTTGGATAGAGACTTGAATGATGAGAAGAACTCAATATGCCAAAAGTGAGCAATGAGGTTTTCAGGCAGGAGTAGGAAGTATAATGGCCCTGAGATGGAAAACGCTGGTCCAGAGGGATCTCCTGTGGCCGGAACCATGGTGATTAAGGTGAGGAAGCAAGGAAGATGAGATCAGAAATGCGAAATAGCAACCAGATTATTTAGGGCCATGTATGCCATAGTAAGAAATCTAAATGGTATTATGAGTAAAGTGGGAAGCCACAAGAAGGTTTGAAAATATGAAAGTGATGTGGTCTGATTTGGACTTTAGAAAGTACCTACATTGAGTTGTTACAATGAATAAGTGAGCATACTATTGTTAAGTGCCATGGAGTCAGCTGCTGACTCAAGGTGACCCCATGTACAACCAAACAAAATGCTACCTGGTACTGTGCCAACCTGCAATGCAGCGAATTACTTCATATGGCTCGTCTACCCAGAGTCTTTGTAATTCGCACCAAACAACTTTTTTTTACCCCTCCTGGGTCTGGGTAAGAGAAGGTGGGAGATGCTAATAAGATGATTTGGTTATGAATGATTGTTAATTGTGATTGTAAAAACTTGGAACTCTAACACGGATATACAAAAGAGCCTTTTCAGAGTAGGAAGGGGGACTTCACTACCACCAAAAAAGAGTCAGGAGCATGTCCTTTGGACCCTGAGATTCCTGTGCATTGAGCCTCCGACCCAGGGACAGAAAAATGTGGCACCAGAAGAGAGCATAGGAGTGGCAGAGGAGCAGCAGCAACAGACCAAGAGCCAGAGTACCAGACAGAGCTGTGGGCTTCCCAGACCATGGAGCAAGTCAAGCTGAGTGACTTTTGGCAGGAGCCTCACTTATGGAGTGAGGTGCCTCCAGGCACTTAATTAGGGAGTTAGGTTTCCTGACTCATGGGATGAGGTTTATACTAGATTGGAGTGCCCTTTGGGCATTTATTGCCATTCCTAAAAGAGCTTTGTAACATTTCCAGAATGAGGCAGAAGCTAGGTCTAGGGCCCAAAGGCCACAAGGAGGCCTGCCTTTAGGCATGACAGAAGAAAGGCTGTGCTGACTAGAAGAACTGTGCTCTGAACATTTCTGATCCTGCATTATAACCTGCTAATGTCCCTGTCTTGGGACAAATGCAGCCAGAATGCTTCTTAGAAGTCAGGATGGTGAGACTTTATCTCATGCTATGGACATGTTATCAGGAGGGACTAGTCCCTGGAGAATGACATCATGCTTGGTCAAATTGAGGGTCAGTGAAAAAGAGGAAGACCCCTCCCAAAAGATGAATGGACACAGTGGCAGTGGCAATGGACTCCACTGGAACAATTGTGAGAATGATGCAGAACGGGACAGTGTTTCATTCTGTTGTACACAGGGTCGCTGTGAATCGGAACCAACTCAATGGCATCTAACAACGATAACAACAGCTTCCCTAATAATCCCCATAAACATGGTGTCTAAGTTCTTTGCACCATTGCAACAGATTATCACACCCAGATGAGAAGTAGAGAGTGTTTCAGGAAGGATGGGGGGAGCTATTTCTTACGATATATCTCCTTGTTCACTGTGATCCATAGGATTTCATTGGCTGATCTTTAAAGTAATTAACTAGGTCTTTCTTCCTAGCACATTTTATCCTGAAAGTTTTGGTGAAACCTGTTCAGCATCATAGCAATATGGAAACTCCTGACAGATAAGCAGTGACTACCTATGAGGTCCATTGGCTTGAAATTTAATGCTGTTCTTCCACGTGAAAGGCATAAATTCTACTGGTGCAAATGGTTAATGTTCTCAGCTGCTAATTCAAAGGTTGGAAGTTCAAGTCCACCCCGAGGTAACTTGGCAGAAATACCTGACAATCTACTTCTGAAAAATCAGTGATTGAAAACCCTGTGGAGCACAGTTCTACTCTGAAACACATGGTGTTGCTATGAGTTGGAGATGACTACAATATTGGACTTGTATTATGCACTCAGTAAATGTTCATTCTCTTCCTACAGAACTGCTTCTTGGAGGCTATACTGTAGAATGAATAAGGAAGACCCGAGAAGATTGATGCATTTGAATTAGGGTGTTGGATAGGAGCTCTGGTAGCGTAGTGGTTACGAATTGGGCTGAGAATCGCAAGGTCTGCATTTCAAAACTACCAGCTGCTCCGCGGGAGAAAGATGAGGCTTTCTGCTCCTGTAAAGATTTACAGCCTCGGAAACCCTGTTCAGGGTCGCTATGAGTCGGAACCAACTCAATGGCACTTAATAACAACAACATCAAGGGATATTGAATACACCATAGATTGTCCGAAGGATGACTACACCTGTGTCGGGGTTTTCCCTCGACATAGTTGTCACGAGTGTTTGGTTCATGAGGAGGGGAGATCCAGCGGCGATAGGGATAGCGAAAGAATACACAAACAGAAGGGAGACAATGAGGCACCCCAAAGCCAGGGTGGATACATCACTGGTGGGCAGGCTTGGGACTACAGGC